TTTTTTTATTTTTAGATTATAAAGAAGTTATTTAAATAATCTCTAGGTTTTTAATAGTTTTAGCTAGTCATTGGCGTCCATAAAAAATGCTGAATAAACATCACGTGATCCATATGCCTACATATCACCGATCGCTGAACTCTAAAAAAGTAGGTGTATTGAGCTGAACCATGTCTATGAGGCATGGGTTTATCTAACGTAAGAAACAAAATAAACCGTAAGTCGTGGTGGTTATAAGGTGAAGGTTATATTACTATTGTTACACATTTTGCGCTTGTTTATATATTAATATCTTGTCGCTTTGTGAAAATTTAAAACTATTTATGGATCATACTATTGAACTGAAAAAATTGCCTACTAATGAACGGTGGCAGTATGATATTGCATACCTACATATAATTACATACACATTATTCTAGTGAAAATACGAGGATTGTGCATGGTTTGTGTGCCGTTTCGAACTCTTATTTTAATAAAAGAAAAATTAAATTACGGGAGATGGTTAATTTATAATATAATATTTATAATATAATATTTATAATATAATATTTATAATATAATATTTATAATATAATATTTATAATATAATATAATTTGCACGATATTATCTTTACTTACACGATAATAATTAAATTATTAATTTTCAGAATGCCAGCGAAAAACATTCTGTTTTGCCAATGACATCCAATGAGCCAAATCTACCTGTAAAACTTCCTACGCCTGCGATATGCGTCTCACCGATCGGTACCGAAATTACTGACGAAGGCAATGTCACTACTAAAAGCACCTCAACAGGTAATGAAACATCCCAAATTCGCAATATCAATAATTATTTAAGCAGTCAATTATTTATTCCTACTAATCTTATAAATGCGAAAGTCTGTCTGTCTGGTACGCTTTCGACGTCAAAATTTTTTTTCCAAATTTTTTTAATGCGCGAAATTTTTCCATGCGTGATATAACCTGAAGTCCACGCGAACGAAGTCGCCGGCGAAAAGCTAGTATTATTATAATTCTAAATAAGAATTAGTAATTTAGTTTATAAACATAATTTCAATGTTTTCTTGTTGTTTAAATGTCGGTCATTCCAGGTGCTCGGAAACGTAAAGGTGAAGATTTGGATTGTAGCGACGAGAATTCACCCGATACACCAAGTGCAAGCAGCTCTATACTGCAGCCTGTATGTGCTACTCCTGCACAGGATAAGTTGAAGAATCAGATTTCTCTTCTTCAAATGGAATTTGACTTAGCTGTTCGTCGTAGGGATTTTCTGGGCGCCACTGAAAATGAGACACGTGATGTGACGAAACTGCGCCGAGAAATTGATAAATGCACAAAAGAACTACGGAGGAAGGAGCAACATATGCGTCACTCCCAGTCACATAGATTATCAATAAAATCAAAGATTAAACTTGCTTGCAATCAGAGTCCGATTGTAGCTGATCTTCTTAAGGCACGTTCTGCCCCAGGTCGCCCACGCCTAGAAGAGCAACAACCGCAATTGCTAAAAACTATCGTCGATTTGGCTATGTTTGGTGCTTCTGCGGAGGAACGGCGTCGCTCAGAAATTGTTCGCAGTTGCCGAACACTTACTGACCTCCATGAAAAGCTAAAGGAGCACGGATTTCAAATTTCGAAGAGTGGCACGTATCTTCGATTGCTCCCTAGAAATTATACCACCTTGGAGGGCAAAAGGCATGTAGTCACTGTGCCTGTCAAATTGAGTCGCCCTGAGGCAGATCATCATAAGGCTCATGTCGATCAACATTTTTGTGTCGCCACAATAAGATCCTTGGAAACGCTGGCATCTATTCTCGGGTCAAAAGAAGTGTTTTTTTTGTCCCAAGATGATAAAGCCCGGGTACCTATAGGTTTGACAGCGGCAAATAAACAAGCTCCTCTCCTGATGCATGTCGAATATCGTGTCTCATTGCCTGATCATGATTGGGTGATTGCTACAAGGCACAAATTGATCCCTAGTGTATATTCTGGGTGCATCATAAAAGGAAATGATATGGGCCGTGCTGAAGCAATTACTTATTCACGGCCAACATACGTGGCGATTAGAAGTGGCAAACATTCCTCTTCGACAGCTTCTACTCATGCTGTGGACTTCAATAAGCTTGCTACAATCAACAATTTCAAGGAAATTATGCGGGATGAAGAAGGACGCCTGAAACCAGTTGTTCTGATTTCATCTGATGGAGGACCCGATGAAAACCCGAGATATCCAAAGGTTATTTCCCATGCCATACACCACTTTGTCAAGCATGATTTAGATGCAATATTCATTTTTACGAATGCACCCGGCAGAAGCGCATTCAACCGTGTTGAGAGAAGAATGGCGCCTTTAAGCCGGGAATTATCTGGACTCATACTACTTCTGTACAAAGAAGAAAGTTAAGGAACATGTAAATGCATGTCACAAGCAACCTAATCCGAGCAGTAATAGTGTAGAGATGCACAATGTTCGTCCTTCACGCATCCTCACGCGACGATCAATCGGCAGATCGAAAGAAATTCTCTGCGTTGTGCGCGAAAATGATGACACCGAGTGGCTTGATGAAACCGATGTTGATTTTCAACAAAGCACAGTGCCAGCAACTGACCTGCAAGATGCTTATCCAGTTGTTAGTGTTGAAGAATGTCTTGCTAATCCGTGGTCCGAGGACAATATACATTAAATATATTCATGTACTAGTACAATACATGTTTTTCCTATGATTACACTCTTCGTTTATTATTATTGTTATGGCAATAAAAAAAAAACTTGCAACCTGGTGTAGACATTTTTATTATGGTCCTTAATTTCAGAATAAAATAAGATTATAGTTTATACCAGTATTTAAATTAAGATAATATTCAGAAAATTTTAAGATTCGTTGTAGGTACTAAAAATACACGTGATGTTGAGAAGGGGGAGGGGGGGTGGTCTTAAACCTCACTACGTATCACCAATGGGGGAGGGGGGGTTAAAAAATGCTAAAAAAACATCACGTGATTAATGGACACCCCCTAAGACCAAAAGAACCTTTAGTAAAAAGCATAAGGCAACGGTGTTATGTAAACATTATAGTTAATATTAATTGAATAAATATATTTTTATTTAAAAAATAGTCACGCATATTTTGTAACCCTCCACCACAGTAAACCACAAAAGTAATGATTTTATTGAACTATTTCATCATCATCAGCCTTTTCCTGTCCCCACTGTTGAAGCAGATGGAATAGAGAGACTGGCCGTGACCCACCAGCGGGACCTAGTGCGGACTGGTGAGTGCTAACGACTGCAGATGCAGCTGGGACCAATGGATTGATGTGTCATCTGAAACACGGAGAAGCTCGAGATTATAAGTTTTTGGTCACCCATCCAATGACCAAGTTGCCTAACTTTCATGATTGCAGGACGAATACTCTAACAACCTGCGTCTCCAGGCTCCTCTTATTTTAGATAGTGTTTGGCATTTCTGTGCGAGACCGAGTCATCAATCCGTATGGTACTACATGACGCGATATTAAAATCGACGCTGCTATTGGTTGCAAAAATATTGTTTCCAACCCCTCTTCCTCGAATTATGTAACAGCAATTTTTTGAATACAATATACACTATTAGACTTTCAAAGACATCACATCTTTTACATCTTTTTACATCAACAAACATACAATTTTCTATAATAAATGCAGCTAATGGAAACTTATCTTTATATTTATCAGCTAATTCTTTGAGACATCGTGTGGCTAAATAAGTGGAACTTTTGAGTCCATAAGTATTTAATTGCAGAAACTGAATGCTATCTTCGGGGGTGTCACCCAAAGGATATATTGCAATGATTTGTACTGAGAATGCAATAAAATTTGTCTAAACATGTTTTTATATCATTTACAAAAATATACTTGTCAATCCTAAATAACAACAATATATCAACTAGTTCTTTTTGAAGTACAGGTTCATTTAATAGCAAGTCACTCAGTGAATTTTTAGCACTGGTCTTCATTGACCCATCAAAAACCACTCTGCACTTAGTGGTTCTTTTATCCAGCCTAAGTACAGGATGGTGTGGTAAAAAATATACAGGCTCAGTACTAAGATTATATTGACTAATATCGATGACTGTGCCGTGACCTTCTTTAATATAGTTATGAATGAAGTCTTTATATACATAGTTGATACAATGAATTATCTTTATTAAATCTAATTTCTAAATTGTGAAATCGTTTTAAGGCTAAGTTAAAAGAATTGCCTAGCACGTGATTGACAGAATCTAATGGCAGCTTGAGAGGCAAGGCTACTATAAATTTATTATTTTGCAAATCTAACCTTGTACCGACACGGAATAAATTTTCACATGTTTCATGCTCAGGGAGTGTGTCAGGAAAAATCTCTGGTACACTTTCTAGTTTCCAAAATCGACAAATTGTTTCATTGAGTGTAGTGTCGCATGTTTTACAAAATAAAGAGGTTACTTGTTTTGTATGATGCCCAGCAGAAATTGAGCCAGCAATCACATAGCAAAATTGAGTGCACAGAATAGGAAGAGTTAAGGTACTACTGCAGCCCTCAGCATCACTCGAGTCACAACATGAAGAAGGTTCAGTTGAGAGCAACACCTAAAAGAACACACGAGCCTCTAAGAGAATGTGTATTACACTTGTGTGCCTAGCATGACTGCCACAATACGATATGATAAAACTGTTTATCGACATCCAACTGTCAAAATACAATAGATATAACCTCCATGTTGAAATTTTATCGAAACAGCGAGCATGAACTTGTCGATGATATGATACGGCAGGATACGATCTGATATTTTAAAGTGCGAGCATGAGCATCGGTTTTATATCGATACATACGAGCATGACTAACTTTTAATAGATAGTTATCGTTAATTATATCGAAATATGACATTTAATAGCAAAACTTTATCGACGACTGTTGGAGTGCGCGATATGTCATAAGCGAAGATAAAAACATCTAATCAAGTTACCTTTACGTTACTTAAAAAAAGTGAAAATTCATATTTTGTGACGAAAGCTTACAATTATTTAGGTCAGTGTCGTTTGTACTTAGGAAAACACTGAAAGCTGTATTTTTGTTAATTAGCATGTCGAGGTCATTTGTACGACTGAATCTCCTTGCCTCAGAGGAGAAGGAAGTTAGAAAGGAAGAGAGGGTCATTATCCGTGAGCTACGTGACCCTTTTCTACTTCCTCTTGATGAGTTCGTACGGAATTATAAGGTGTCCATGGAAATGGTGCATTATTTGTGCTCAGAATTGCAAGAAGATTTGGCTCCTCAATCTTCTACAGGATACCCGGTCTCGCTAAAGGTTTGTTTTATTAGACATAACTTTACCTTCTAATTATTGAAACACAATAAAACTCCTTTTTTTTACTTAATAATCTCGTCTTTTTTTAGGTTATCTCGTCATTGAAAATGCTGCTGGATGGCCACTACCAAAGAGGAAATGCAAACGAGGCCAGCCAATGCATTGGGCAAACTACAGTCAGCAAATACCTAAACCAATTTGTGACTGCTGTAAATGCGCGGTAATATATTACATGTGGCCACACACATTTAAATTTAATGCTTGTCAAATTTGTTACCTATTTTACTACCTGTTTCAATCAACCTCTAGCAAAAGGTTAATATAATTTCGTTCTGCTTTGTTGCAAAGATATTTTTATTATTAGGACTATAGTATTATCTGTTGCGAAGAACTGTTGGAACCAGATAATACTTACCTTTTATTAGAGGTTGACTATGTGTTGAAACTGGCCGTTAGTATAGTTATATTGTTATTGCAAAGAAAGTGACAGTGACTACTTAAAACTAATATAAAATTGTTATCTCTTAGTGAGATGACTTGAAATTAATACATACTGAAATAATTATTGGTCTAAAAAACTTTCTTAACAGGCTGAAATATCAATGGCTAAATTTTCCTGGTACTCCAAGAGAAAGGAACCAGATTTCAGAAAACTTCTTGTTGAAAAGTGGAGTGCCAAATATTTTGGGGGCCATAGACTGCACTCATGTTAAAATATTTCCCCCCAATGGGTTGACTAATTCCCAGTATAGGAATCGATATGGAGATATGACTATAAATGTACAATTGGTAAGTCTGATTTCTAAGAAAAAAAAGTGTCATTTTTTTGTTTTAGATTACTGAAAAAGAGTAGAGAGCAACTCTTATATATATTTAAGCAGACTTCAAAAAAAAGGATGTTCTTAGTCTGCCCTGATATTGTGTGAATCTTTTTAAACTATAAATACCTAAATACTTACATAATTTCAGATTTGTGATGCTGATGCCAAAATTTTAAATGTTAACGCCAATTTCCCGGGAAGTTGTCATGACCAGTACATCTTTAATAACTCTTTAGTTAAAGTTGAACTGCAGAGGTTGTACAATGAGCGAACTGGCCAATATTTTTTACTAGGTATGTCATACCAAAATTGTTTTCTGTATATTTTTTTATTAATGTTTAATACTAATTTGCCACAAAGTAAGCACTGTAAGGCTTGTGTTATGGGATACTAGGGTTACGGATAGAATACAATACAAATATGAGTATATTTATCTCGAAATATATATGAACATCCATGAACTAGGTACAAATGCTCATATTCATCAAACCTTGTATCCACTAGCCATAATTGACGCGCAACACATGAAGCTCAACAGATGAAACGCAACATAAAAGTTCCGCATTGTTGTCGAACATGACAAGCGTCATCAGAAATCTAGCATACATACCATACAGAGGTCAATAATCTTTAATTTACAAAGCAATAATGCAGTTTTTGGGGAAGACTAGGTATTAAGTAAAAACAAAATAAGTTGTTATTAATCATCATTTATATTTGACACTTGAATAATAATAATTATAAATTAACAATTAAAAATTATTTAAATAAATTCTTGCGCAGCTGCCATAAACTGTAACAAACAATAAATGAGTAATGAATAAAAATATTTTACAGGAGACTCAGGATATGCACTGGAGCCTTGGATGATGACACCTATTACCAACACAGTGGTTGATTCGCCTGAGGATCGATATACCTCATGGCATTGTTCTACACGCAATGTCATCGAGCGCACAAATGGCTACCTTAAAGGCACCTTCCGATGTCTGGGTATAGATAGACGCCTGCATTATAGCCCAGAAAAGGCGTCAGCTATAATTTATGCTTGTTGTACATTATACAACATAATGAAACATTTTCGCTAAATATTGTTTACTTTTAAAGCAACTTCTTATTTTCATTTTGTTAGAAGAATTAATGTTAATTTACTGAAATATTTTCAGAATTCCTCCTACTGCAAGTGAAGTAGAGGCAGAAGAAGAAACGCCACATCTACCACAGGCTTTGCACGAGACTCTTCTGCGTGTGGCACAACAAAAGCGGCAAAATTTAATACAAAATCACTTCATGTAATATTTTTAATATACACACATCAAAAGTGTCTAGGGATCAACATATATTTTTGCAATAACTTTTCTCCTGATTGATATTAATTAAAATTTTCTTTAAGGATTCATCAAATAAAGTGTTTTCGTTTGTCACAGTAACGATAAACCAAGTCACCTTTGCATTAATAAAGAAATTTGCCATTTTCCTAATAAAGGGATTTTTGACATTTGAACCACTAACACAAAAGTTCGAAAAAAAGACTGAAATAACAGTTTTCTCTAAAATTTTATTGGGTAACTTAAACAATTAATAATCCGTATTTCTACCGCGAACACTAACAACACAAGAACATCGGTTTGGCATACTCAAAATGAGTTCATCCAAATCACGCTGTGGAATGGCCGCCCATGTTCGTTGCAACAACAAAAAAAGGTCTTCTTGCGACTGGATACCCTCCATATTCGGCAGAGCTCTTCTCTGTAGCATATCCCATGCATGCTCAATCGGGTTCAAGTCTGGCGACTGAGCAGGCCAGGGCAGGACATTGATGTTAGCTGCGGCGAGAGTCTGTCTTACAACTCTTGCGGTGTGCGGTCGTGCATTATCATGCATTAACTGAAATAAGGGACCGATTTGCACTTGTAGAGGAACGATGACGTCTGATACAATCGTCTCAGCATAAATTTGAGCGTTGAGGTTGCCTCTGATCCAAATCAACTCAGTTCTTCCGCCGATCCAAATACCCGCCCATACCATGATGGTTCCACCACTATAAGGATGGACTTCCTGGCAGGATTTTAATCGCTGTTGGCGTCCAGGGGTTCTCCAGTGTCGTATACGTCTTGTATCCGGTCTCATACCAAAACGAGACTCATCAGAAAAGCACACGAAACGCCATTGTTCTTCTGCCCAATTTCTGTGTTCAAGAGCCCATTGATATCGAATCCTACGATTGTGCATTGCTATAGGTGGTACCCGTAGCGGTCTTCGGGAATGAAGGTTCACTTCATGCAAGCGGTTTCTGACTGTTTGGTCGCTAATTAAGTTCCCTGAAGAGTGATGAAGCCTCACGGCTAACATCATGGCGGTTATTGTTGGAGCTCTTCGAGTTAAGATTTGAATGTATCGGTCTTGTCTCCGTGTGGTGCAGCGATACCGTCCTCCATGGCGCTCAGCCACGGTACCAGTGCTTCGGTATCGTGTCCAAAGTCGACTGATAACACTCTGACTTGTATTCAGAGCTAAAGCCACAGTACGTTGCCGGGAACCAGCTTCTATCATTCCCACGGCTCTGAGCATTTCTTCCCTGCTTAAATGACGTCGCCGCTCCATAATAACGTTGGTTTTAATCAGTAGTAGGGAAACAGTAGCACTAATAATGTCTTCAATGCGTTGTATGTTTTTATAGGGAAAATATTGACAGCTGATTTTCATCTTTTACTCGAATTTGATTCACAGTTCCTGATTCAAATTATGAAATGCACCAAAAAGGATCCATATAAATTTATAAAATCATAAATTTATTACAAAGCCACATCTCAATCTCAAGAAATCCGCATAAAAATGCTTGATCCCTAGACACTTTTGATGTGTGTATATCTACTATTATAACAGCACAAGAATTTTCTTTCGTATCAATATCCCAAACATAACAGTTGGCGCTTTGCTGGCCCCTCACATGGCTATTTGTATTTGGTATTAGTGAATTTCATAATAATCTTTCCTTTTGGATCACTTTAGAGCATATTTATGATATACTGTTTTCGATTGTATAAATGGCAAGTACGAATAGGCATTTGATGTGCTAGTATCATAGACAGACCGTGGCCGACTATGAAAGTTTCTCTGGCTCCAAAAATTTTCTATAGCTCATACATATTTCTTAGGTACTTACTTCTCCTTATATTTCTGTCGCGATCGTACGGCATTGTTGCGATTCATAATATTTAATTGATTTGCAATATCCTATAACAAAATTAAAATTAAACATGTAGATATTTGAGTGATGGCATTGAAATATAATATTATTTATTAATTTTCCCTTCTATTGTAAAAGGACACATACCCTCAAAATATTATTGCTATCCAGCTCTGCTTCTAGGAATTGGTTAGCTCGTGCTTGCGGTTGGGGTCTGTTACGGCGCTGTCGCTCGCGCTGCTGCTGTTGCTGACGTCCAGCTCCAGCGGACCTCCTGCTAATGCTCGCACCCGAGCCCGCACCCGCACTCCGTCTACGGTCGTTATCTGTGGCACTTGCACCCATGTTAATCTGTAATGAATGAAAGATTTAGTCATAATAACACATTTATTGAATGACCAAAAATTTACTATCTCGAGCTTCTCTGTGCTTCCGAGGGCACGTTAAGCCATTGGTCCCAGCTGCATCTGCAGTCATTAGCACCCATCAATCCGGACTGGGCACGTGTGGTAGGTCATGGCTCAATCTCCCTGTTCAACCCATAGAGAAGGCCTCTGCCTCAGCAGTGGGAACATTAATAGGCTGATGATAATAATATTAAAAGAAAAATAAAGCAACTGCTTTAATAAAATGTCGATGAATCTCTGTTATATGAATATTTAAGAAAGATCCTAGATAACTAGGCTCCTTTTTAAATTCAATATCCTTTAAAAACTATTTTTTACTTGCACTTAACTACTAAAAATTTAGTAAATTACAATTAATTATTATTAGATGAAAGTAACTCACCATTGAAATTTCATCAAGCTCAACTTGATGCAGCTGGTTGACTTCTGCCCTGTTTGATTCTTCTATCTACAAAACATAAAAACGACACTATAAAATAGATTTTATATAGGTATTACAAATTTCCAAAATAACAATCTGGTAACAATTGATTTTCCAATATCCATCCATTGGCAAACTTATTGTCAACAATATGAAATTTTAAAAGCTGGTACTTTCTATGTCTTAATTTCACTTCCATTTCATGTTTCATTTAAATTAAAAATGAAACTTAAGACAGGGATTTATTATAAGATGTAAGTGAATAAGAAGGTCACCCACCGTCAAAACTTCATCATGCTCAACTTGATGTTCTTGTGGCAGGTTTGGATCTACCACAACTTGATGAATGTTTTGTGTACTCTGTAATAAATAATAATACTAGATAAAAATTGACAAATTAACTTACAATAGCTACTAAACAATTTGAGCGAAGGTCACACCAAGACCTAAACAACTTAAATTTTTGTTTATATCTCGGTGTGATCTCAGTTTAATTTCCACTACTATTGCTATGACATAGTAACTTACTTCATTATTATTTTGGTTCTGTACACCTGACGGTCCAGCCTAGAATATAATATTAATTAATGATAAATAAAGTACTTCTTTTGAAATACAGATGTAAACGCCTTATTGAACAATTCATTAGAAAAATATTAGAAACATTATAATTTGAATAATATTTTGTGTTTTGTCATCACTCAATCGAAGTTATTTCTTTTAATATTTAAAATGTGGGAAGGTTAGGTATATCTGCTGCACCTAATATGTATTAGCACCAACAATACATTTTGTTTAATTAAATTTTAATCAAGTGACTCACCACTAAATCCTCTAATACTTCTATGGAGAAGCCAATCGGTAATAAAAATGTCTTCAATTGTATTTTTGTTCTTAGTTGGTACTTTGTGTATTACATATGTAGTAAGGAGTACTTACACCAGATTCTTCAGCACCATGGATCCCAAAGGCTCCTTCGGTGCCCATGACTCCAAGAATTTTCTGAGAAATTTCAGAAATGGCCGGTACTGGAGTAGCATTTCCAGTGATATTTCTGGCACGATTCGCCACACTCCCCTCAGTTCGGGCCTTGCGGCGTAAGTCGCGCCAAGTCTGAATGATAGAATACAATAGAGTTTTAAACTGTGTTTTAATCATTTACAAACAATCCTTTTATTTTTAATAATTATCACATTTTAAAATTGTCTAGTTAAATATTAACAAAAACATTTAATACTTAGCGTTTATTAATTATTGACAGTAAAAAATATCCTTACCACTTTCCACTGCTCCAAAGATTTATCCGGCCCGTGTTCATTTAATATGACGCGCAGTTCCTCCCACTCCCTTTGCTCGTTGACTTTTCCTTGGGGCCCAGAAAATTCTCCATGAGCCAAGCGCGGATGCGCAGCCATATAATCAGCAAGCAGCTTAAGCTGCTGTGCTGTACTTCGGGTTCTAGGTAGTTAGGTAACATATAAATGTTACTAATGTGTGAAATAAACTAATGTAAATTCAAAAACGGGAAACTGTTCTCATAAAAATTTACAACTTTTAAAAAAAAAAATGAACAGTTCGCACGCAAGGTACTACTACAAATACTTACCTTGTTTTCCCAGACATTTTTCTCGTAAAAATCTATAAATACAAGAAAAAAATTCGAAAAACCGTTGACAAAACAAAACTTTATTGACACTGACACTGACCAAGTAACTTTTTAAAAGTAAGTTTTCTTTTATATTGGCTGTATTGACTCCAGTTTCATTTGCCTTCCTTTAAATATGAAAAATAAAACTAAAAAAGAATGAATGATGATTGAAGTAAAAGAAAAAAATATTTACATATTGGCAACATTCCATATCGGCATATCAGAGCATATCCCGTGTTAGTTTTATATCATATCATCAGTGCCGTTTTATCCATTAGGCATTATAGGCAACTGCCTAGGGGCCCTGCCACGTTCAGGGGCCCCTGTGCTACAGGGAAAAGAATAGGGAATGTTTCTTAAACAGTAAAAAATTAATTTGAAAATTTGCTCTGTACATTACATCGACGCTATTTTAGTACATTTCGGAACGCATTCCTTATTAGATATTATTATTATGATTATTATGATAGTTTAAAAGTTTATAACGCAGTAATATAATTGCAAGCAATTTTATCGCGGTAATTTAATTAAAAACGCTCAAAACTCTTTGTTGTGAATGCACACTTACTATACTGGTACCTACCAAGTATGTATATTCTATGGCCAAGCTACTTTCATAAGGTTGGCAGTACTGGTTCGTTGGCATGACCGGGGAATTCCCCGAGACGTTAAATACGTATTGTATGATGTGTCATAGACATTATTTTCGAACCATTTTCAATTAAATCGTTCAATTTTTACTTCGTGCAATTCGTTTGCAAGTTTCACGGCTGTGAATAAAAAGAGAGTTTTACAATTTGTGTTTTAAAAATTACGAATTTAAGGATAAGTGTTGGATATTTATTTATAAAGACTGCAGAAGTGCTTCAGGCTTTGTGAAAATCGGTGAAACGACGGGTTAAAAACAGTGTAGTGGAAACTAAAGTTTCATTAACTGAAGTTAAAATTACTTTACGTAAGTTTTATTATTTTTTACATATTTTATTACCTGATACAGGATTTGACAAATGTGAAGTGTCGTTTTATTATTCAATTGGATATTTTAATTAATTTCTATGTTATTAAATATTTTTACTTTGGGTGTTTATTAATATTAAGCAGGAAACTATTATTATTATTATATTGTTTGAGCTGCTAAGGTGAAATTTTCTTTACTGTTTTAAAACAAAAGATTATTCCTTTCAGGAACAAAATGTCGGAGGTACCCGTAAAGAAAAAGCATGAAAGTGGTTCCGAAAAACGTAAAAAGCGGCAAGAGCAACAAAATAAACTTAATGAACAATTAAAGAAGACACAAAACCTTTTCGAACTCGGATTTAGTCGCGAATTAAAGGAACATCAACCTCATGACACTCCAAGTACGTCTTCTACCAGCCACAAGATGGAAGTAGACCCAGTAGAGGTTCCTTGCGAGCCTTTTGAACAGATTGGCCAGGATCAAGAAACACCTACGTTAGTCAGTGCAGAGGAAGGTGAGGCCGAGACAGGGGTCATACATCAAAACGTAGTTCATCTAGGGGTGGAATACCAGAATGACATTGGCTTATGGCAAAATATTACCAACGAAATGCAAGATTTTTGGTGTACTAGAGACCCTAACGAATGTCAACACTTTGATTGTAATTTTTCTGCTTCGGCCCGACAGTACGACGACAGTAAAAGATTTTTTTCTCAGTCTATGTTTTTTCGGAAACACATCAGTGGTGGTAAAATCAAACGGGAGTGGCTCATGTATTCTCCGTCTACTGGAAAAGTATACTGTTTTCCATGTATCCTTTTTGGTGAAGCACAAAACCGATCACAATTTCAAACTGGATTTTCTGATTGGAAAAATGCGTTGCACCGAATCCAATCGCATGAGAATAATGCAACTCACCGAGTATGTGTACAGACACTCATAAGTAGACGACGCATTCACGGACGAATCGACACTTCTTTAGAGATTACATTTAATAAAGAAAAAGAATATTGGAAAAAAGTTTTAGAAAGAATAGTCTCTGTGATAAAATTTTTATCATCCCGTGGATTAGCATTTCGTGGTGACAATGAAATTCTCGGTTCTCAACATAATGGCAATTATTTGGGAATTTTAGAGTTAATCGCAGAGTACGATCCTTTTCTTAGTTCGCATTTAGCAAAATATGGTAATGAAGGCAAAGGAAAACAATCGTATTTATCTGCAACGATTTGTGAGGAACTTATTGAAATATTGGGAAATAAGGTTTTAAAATATATTGTTAATGAAATTATTGAAGCCAAATACTTCTCAATAAGTGTCGATTCGACACCTGATATATCACACACTGATCAGTTGACTGTAGTGCTGAGATATGTTACGTCGAATGGAGAAGTGGCTGAACGTTTTCTTAAATTTCTTCTCATACAGAACCACAAAGGGGAAGAACTAGCCACCGAAATATTAAATTTTTTAAGCCAATATAATATTGATGTAAGAAATTTGAGAGGTCAGTCTTATGATAATGCGTCGAATATGTCTGGTCGTTACAATGGTCTCCAGGCGCATATAAAGAAAATAAATCACCTCGCACACTACGTTCCCTGTGCAGCGCACTCACTGAATTTGGTTGGAGTACGTGCAGCGGAAAGCTGCGTTGGAGCAATCTCATTCTTCGGATTTGTACAGGCAATATACAACTTTTTTTCGGCATCAACTCATCGCTGGGCAATTATGCTCGAAAATCTTGAAAAACGTGATGAACGTAAGCATAATTCGTCATTGGTTCTGAAAAGTGTATCCGATACAAGATGGTGTGCAAGGGCCGATGCTACTAAGGCTTTGGCAACTGGTTACAACAGTTTTCAGAAAGCTTTGCAGTCTATTGCTAGCGATGAGACTCAGACATCACAAGCGATTCACGAAGCTAAATGTCTATTGAATGACTTAAGAAAAAAAGAAAATGCTGTAATGGCCGTATTCTGGGCTGCCATACTAGATCGGATCAATGGTGTCAGCATATCTTTACAAAAGAAAACAATTGAACTACGAACAGCAGTCGATCTTTTAAAATCGCTTTTAGATTTTTTAATTTCACAGAGAGATTTATTTGACGACTACGAGACTAAGGCAAATGAGAAAACTGATACTCAATACAGTGATGAGAATCAGCGTGAGCGAAAAAGGAAAAGGCATCACGATGACGGATCAGCAGAAGAAGTTGTGCTCAGAGGAAAAGAGAAGTTAAAAGTTGATACATATTTGCCAGTACTAGACATGTTATTTACAGAACTGTCGCGGCGCCTAGAAGCTTACCGGGAAATAAATGATCTGTTTGGGTTTCTAACAGATTTCTCGACAAAATCGGACGCTGAAATTAGACAGGCTTGTACAAAATTTAAGGATCATTATTTCGAGGACATTGAGCCTGAGTTTATAGACGAAATGGTGCAGTATAAATACTTCATCTTACAATTAGATGACGCCGGACAAAAAAATATGCCAGCCGAGGAGTCTTACAAACTGATTATTGGTAACATGGCACAGTCAACATTCCCGAATGTAATGACAGCTTTGCAAATATATAGAAGTCTAATGATTACAAATGCCACTGGTGAACGAAACTTTTCCAAATTGAAATTAATTAAAAACTGTCTTCGTTCAACGATGTCTCAAAACCGTTTAAATTCATTGGCTATAATGGCAATTGAAAATGACGTGTTGGAGAAGATTACCTTTCAGGATATCTTGAACGATTTTGTATCAAAAAAAGTTAGAAGAGTTAATATTTAAGCTATGTATGTTTTTTATAAATGCATAAATAAACATTCTGTTCATTTGATTCAACATTTTTATTGAATAATATGATGATATACCCAGGTTAGTAAAAAACGGTGTAATTTTGAATTTTGTTGTGTTAACGTAAAAATTAGAAGAGGGTAGGGGGCCCTGGATGAGCATTGCCTAGGGGCCCCGACAGGCATAACCCGGCCCTGCATATCATATCGATACGTTGTTCATGCTCGCAAAATCGTTATATAAGTTGTTGTCATTATGATATCATATCTTTTATCGTATATCGACATCGTGTGCTCATGCTAGGGGGGTTGGCTTATGAAAATCCTTGTCGGCTAGTTTAATGTTTGAGGGCAGAATTAAGTTTTTTGTTGAAATTTCAGAATGTGGTAGTTTTGATGTTATGTTTTCAAGAACATAACATGTTACTGTAAAATCATTAAAAAGTGAATAAAGGCATACATTTACACAGCTGTTAACCTTGCTACTGTTCCCGTACCAACCACAGGAGTATGTATTTGTTTTGGCTTCAAAATTAATAATTGAACAAGTTCCCTTGTTATGAATGAAGCTTGCGGTCCACTGTCAAGGAGTGACTTTACATGTATCTCAGTTCCACTGCCTGCTATAATCTTTACTTGAGCTGTAGGTTACAATGTTTGGAACTGGATTCTAGGAACAATGTCCCTGGACCTTCAACCTTATCTTCATGAAGCAGTGTATTGTGTTTTTGTTTACATTTTTTACATTTAAAAAATAATCTACATTTTTTACTATGCCTATTGAGGCAGATTTGGCAGAAATTATTCTCATGAACAAATTTTAATCGCTCCGAAACCGTTATCATTTTAAATTTAGGACAAGTAAATAATTTAAGAGGCAACTTACACATCACGCAGCCGGATGGCGGTGCAGATCTTATCACATTTGCTCCTGCATCATCCTTGACGGTCGCCATGTGAGCAGCCTTGGGCATACCTGATAATGCACCTGATGTGGTTTTTCCACTGCATTCTCAACTGTAGGTTCCTTATTGACTCTATTTAATTGATATTCTCTATTACAATAGCTGTCTAACTTTCTGGTAAGAATGCAAAGTATAATTGGGTCCCACATATTGACATTATGATTTAAGTTATTTAAGGCTGCTAATTGTTGTTTTACAGTGGCTATAAATTGCCTAATGTTATGAGCTGTAGATTTTACAATTGGTGACATATCTAACAAAACATTTATGTGCTCATTTGTAATTTTGTAAACATTATCATAACGCTCATTTAATATTTTTTATAGTTTTTGGT